TTCGAATTGAGATCGGGAGGTCATTCCACCAGCTGGGCACAGTCCAGGAAAAGGTCCGTGATAGAGATTTTGTGCCTCTTTGGGATGGCACCACAAGGTGTTGTTCACTTGCAGAACGCAATATATATATATATATATATTTATTTCAGTAATTCAACTCAAATTGTGAAACTCGTGTATTAAATAAATTCAATGCACACAGATTGAAGTAGTTTAAGTCTTTGGTTCTTTTAATTGTGATGATTTTGGTTCACATTTAACAAAAACCCACCAATTCACTATCTCAACTAATTAGAATATGGTGACATGCCAATCAGCTAATCAACTCAAAACACCTGCAAAGGTTTCCTGAGCCTTCAAAATGGTCTCTCAGTTTGGTTCACTAGGCTACACAATCATGGGGAAGACTGCTGATCTGACAGTTGTCCAGAAGACAATCATTGACACCCTTCACAAGGAGGGTAAGCCACAAACATTCATTGTCAAAGAAGCTGGCTGTTCACAGAGTGCTGTATCCAAGTATGTTAACAGAAAGTTGAGTGGAAGGAAAAAGATGCACAACCAACCGAGAGAACTGCAGCCTTATGAGGATTGTCAAGCAAAATCGATTCAAGAATTTGAGTGAACTTCACAAGGAATGGACTGAGGCTGGGGTCAAGGCATCAAGAGCCACCACACACAGACGTGTCAAGGAATTTGGCTACAGTTGTCGTATTCCTCTTGTTAAGCCACTCCTGAACCACAGACAACGTCAGAGGCGTCTTACCTGGGCTAAGGAGAAGAAGAACTGGACTGTTGCCCAGTGGTCCAAAGTCCTTTTTTCAGATGAGAGCAAGTTTTGTATTTCATTTGGAAACCAAGGTCCTAGAGTCTGGAGGAAGGGTGGAGAAGCTCATAGCCCAAGTTGCTTGAAGTCCAGTGTTAAGTTTCCACAGTCTGTGATGATTTGGGGTGCAATGTCATCTGCTGGTGTTGGTCCATTGTGTTTTTTGAAAACCAACGTCACTGCACCCGTTTACCAATAAATTTTGGAGCACTTCATGCTTCCTTCTGCTGATCAGCTTTTTGAAGATGCTGATTTCATTTTCCAGCAGGATTTGGCACCTGCTCACACTGCCAAAAGCACCAAAAGTTGGTTAAATGACCATGGTGTTGGTGTGCTTGACTGGCCAGCAAACTCACCAGACCTGAACCCCATAGAGAATCTATGGGGTATTGTCAAGAGGAAAATGAGAAACAAGAGACCAAAATATGCAGATGAGCTGAAGGCCACTGTCAAAGAAACCTGGGCTTCCATACCACCTCAGTAGTGCCACAAACTGATCACCTCCATGCCACGCCGAATTGGGGCAGTAATTAAAGCAAAAGGAGCCCCTGCCAAGTATTGAGTACATGTACAGTATATGAACATACTTTCCAGAAGGCCAACATTTCACTAAAAATGTTTTTTTTATTGGTCTTATGGAGTATTCTAATTTGTTGAGATAGTGAGTTGGTGGGTTTTTGTTAAATGTGAGCCAAAATCATCACAATTAAAAGAACCAAAGACTTAAACTACTTCAGTCTGTGTGCATTGAATTTATTTAATACACGAGTTTCACAATTTGAGTTGAATTCCTGAAATAAATGAACTTTTCCACGACATTCTAATTTATTGAGATGCACCTGTATGATTGTTTTTGTTTTGTGAATTGTTTTGTTACTTGTTAAAGAATGTATTTATTACTTTGTGCATTAAGAAAGGAGGGCAAATTGGAATAATACCTCAACGCAACTCAAATTGGTTTATCGTTGTTTGTTTTATGGTTGTCTTCGACTCAAAAGGGTTCACTTTTAAATAAAATAAACTTATAAATAAATGTATAAGTTGGCACCCCAGGACCAGTCAGTCCGCTACAATATATTTTAATCTGACACTGTGTAGAGATGAATGAGAAAACCTGACTTGACTCATTGACTTATTAAATGCTGCTGTTGTTAAAGCTAACAAAGAAAGACATCAAGTAACAATAATCAATTAAGATTCTATAAGAATCATAAGAAATATAGCCTACATACTAATAACAGCCTAGATATGTTATGTAGCCTAATTTGCGCACTTCAGGGAGTCGCTCTCAAAACGCGGGTATTAAAATCGCTTTTAAATGCGCGTGCACGTTTTACCTTCGGTTTTCGATTTAACGATCACGCAAACTCTCTGTGAATATTTAATAAACAACAACAGCCATCATAAAAGTTGCTAGGCAATTCAGTCAAAAGTACAAAGGCAGCGCTCTGATATACAGCATTGAAGTTACATAAACATGATGAGATTTTGCCAAAACTATTAGCTCTGGAACAAATAATAGATTAATGAGACATAAGACTGCCCGTTAGATTTACCCAAAACGAATTATATATCATATTTAACCACTATAGAGACACCAGAGCCAGCGGCAAATTCCAGAAGATCTGGCCGAGGTGAGGCGCTCTCTCTGCGGGTTCATGAGCGCTGAACGCCCGCTGACGTCCTGGAGCTCACAAGCAAATTTTCAAATAGACATTATTCTTTATTAACAAACTGCATACAAGTCAAAACAAGAACAAATGCTCTTAAAACTATACTCCGTGACACAAAACAGTATTATATTTAAAATTACAGTGGATTTGGGCGTCCGCCATGGTGAAGGAGTTTTTACATCTTATTCATTTAATTTTACCAAGTTTGTTTGAAGTTTTACCCATAAACTTGGTAATACTTTGGATCTGGTTTTATATCTAGGTGTTCCAATTTTTTATGTGGATATTGTGAATACTTGTTTTGTTAAACTGTGATATGACAGGTTGAAAGACACTATGATTAAATATTAAAAGGCAGTAAAAGCAGCAATGGTAAAATATTTATCGGATCTTATTAACAGTAATCCTAGTAATCCTAAATCGTTATTTAAGATGATACACTCAGTTTTAAATCCTAGCACAACTACAGGCTTCGATATTACTCAGTCAAAATGTGAAAAGTTTTTATTGTTTTTCATAAACAAAATTGAGGTTCTCAGAGCTAGCACTTCATCTCCTGACCTTATTCTTGATTATATTTCCACACCTCCATTAGAACATGATGTGAGCGAGTTTGAACCGATATCATTACCCAGTTTGGTGGATTTAGTCTGCCATATGAACCAGTACATACACAGCACCACCCAACTCCGTACAGAATCAGCCCTTCTCCAAGTGTCTAATGATCTGTTCCTGGCCACCGATTCGGGAAAGTGTGTAATTTTGGTTTTAATTGATCTGAATTTGACACTATAGCACACAATATTCTTTTGGAGAGTTTAAAGGGGTCATCGTATGCCCATGACCAGCAGCTCACACACAGTCTCTGGAGACTCAGGAGCCAGCAGCTGCGGCTTCTCCGAGTCACTTAACCACAGCTGGAGAGACAGACAGAACATGTATTTAAATGATAGGGTGACCCCTTAAGGAACAGAAGAACACAATTGTAGATGGTTTTAGAAAGGGAAATCCGTTATAACACTTGTCACTCTTTATGACATTGACCTTTGTTCATTCGATACGTCTGTGATGTTTTCTCCATTAATAATCGTGTGGAATCACTATGAAAGGTTAATGTGGCCTGAAATGTTCAGCATTTGTGGATGATTTTACGTACCGTGTACCTTCAAATAATTTGCTTTCTTTTTTTTGTCTTCAAAAAGAAAGAAAAAAACAAAGCAACTGTCCATTTATCACTTATTCGACCCTTCTCATGAACATAAAAACCTAATGTTTTTTCATATTCATTTTTGTTTTTAATCATTTTTTGCTTTGTTGTATTTCTATTTGGTGCATTAGAGTAAAGTGTGATGAAAAAAATTATATATATATGCAGTATCACACGAGTAGACGTGAGATATGGTCTCGGCACGGCTGTGATTTGGCTGTAGGCACGAGGCCGCAGGTAATCACAGCGTGCTGATATACAGCCATATCTCACATCTACTCGTGTGATATTGCGTTTATACAACAGTTCGACGGCATGAGTGTGTAAATACAGGGGCGGATTAAGGTGGTCAGGGGCCCCTAGGCTGCTCTTTGTGTGAGGCCCCCCTTAATCATCTTAATCATTATGCTTTACTGGAGAAATGTATTTAATGCCATACATGGTCCACACGCAAATAGTAAGATTAACTTACACACACACACACACTCTCACCCTTTTTACCTGGTCAAAAACAGCTCTGTTCACAGCGACCCATTTCAGTGCATGTCTCTTTAAATGCTAATGAGCTCTGCTCACCCTGACCCTGTTCTCATGAGACTGTAAACTTTAGCCGCATTTAGCCACGGAAGTTGCAAACTAGCACATCATTAGGAAAGGCGATTTGCATTTGAAAGATTCATAAAAAAAATCTTACACGCTTACTACTTCTGTAGGGGAAGCTGGATCACGCATGATTCGCACGAACAAACACATTTAGGTAGATTGGGGGGCGCATTCCCTTCAAAAACAAGCGTAATCCTCTGCGTCTTCACCGGCTCAGATGTCAGAAGTAAATGACGACTACTATGTTCATTATTACATCCAACAACAGAACACCTCAGTCGCTTTGGAGACACTCAGTACGTTTACATGAACAGCAATATTCCATCACAGCGTGCTGATATACAGCCATATCTCACATCTACTCGTGTGATATTGCGTTTATACAACAGTTCGACGGCATGAGTGTGTAAATACAGGGGCGGATTAAGGTGGTCAGGGGCCCCTAGGCTGCTCTTTGTGTGAGGCCCCCCTTAATCATCTTAATCATTATGCTTTACTGGAGAAATGTATTTAATGCCATACATGGTCCACACGCAAATAGTAAGATTAACTTACACACACACACACACTCTCACTATATAAATTCTTATAAAAGCTACAAATGCTATTCTGTCAAGAGCAGGGAGTAATTGTCTCCTCGTCTTTTGTCGTTTGATCATCATTAACGCCGACACTTAACTCAAGAGACGAGATGAGACACGAGAACGAGACGAGATTTTTACACATTTAAAAAATAAATAAATCCAAATGATCAAATACATGACTGGAAAAATAGTCTGCAGGTGCATTTTGAATTTTTTTTAACTAATCATCTTGCAATAAATGTCATTTCGGTTCTACTTTCTGAGCATGAATTATCATATGCAGTAAAAGACAACAACACTCAAGCACTGTAAAAGGTTTTGCCACAAACTCAACTGACTGGCTTCTCTCCTGTATGATTTCACATGAATCTCTTCAGACCATAGAACTCTACATGAATTATGAGCTTCTAGAACTTCAGACTGAAGCCGTTTGTGACCTTCTAACTGAACTCCTGTCCACAAATTGAACATAGAAATAAAAAATTATAAAAATAATAATTAAAGACTTAACAAGTCTTAAGTGCAAACAATATGTGCAACCATAATCAAAGTACTCTCAATATTCAAAGTGCAAATGGAGACCAATTTTTCTTAAAGCATGATACATAGCTAAGAGATGGTTAAAACTACACAGCCCAATCAAAGACAGGTTTGATATTGGGAGATATTGAATGTAGACTAATTTGCGTGCAAAATGCAGGGAATTAAAACTGAAATTGCTTTCTAATTCGCAATCGTGCTTTTATATGTGTATAGGAAGCGCCGGTGCTGAGCACACATTCTACAAGAGAAGACATTTGTCAGATGCTTACAGGCTCTGGAGTCATCTCTCGCCTTACTCTTGTTACATGATCAGTGAACTCAGATTCCTGCTGCACTGTGCAACTCTATAGCTCATGTTGGATGACCAGAGCAGACGCCTTTAGTTTAGAATTGAAGAAAACATTACCTAGCTGGATTAAATGTTTTTTATGTCTATAAAAAAGCAAAACGACAGTGGAGGCAGTGCCGCGGTGTGCACTGTAATGTAATGTAAAAGCAGAGGTGGCATCTTCTATACTAATTGCACCCTCACACTCCATCATGGCAATATCGTGTGACAGCTTTTCACCTCGAAGAGGAATCATGTCACATTTTAATACTGTGACATCTTGTGGCACAAAATCTCGTCACACCCCTACTATTCAACATGAAATCATCCTGGGGGCACACTTGTTTTACACATATTTGGCACCACCTATTGTTGCGTGTATATTATTGACATGTAAAATCCTAGACCCTGAATATAAGAGAACCCCATTTTTTTCAGATGTATTTCCGAGAAAAGAAAAAAAAAA